GTGATGAGCCCTTAAGTAGGTTCATCCTCAAGTCTGTAAGAAAATCCCACAGTTTTCCAAAGTGCCTGTTCCTTGTCACACACCATGAGCCAGGGATGACAGTTCCAACTGTTCCATGTTCTCCCCAAAATGAAATTTCTTTCTTTCAAAAAAGAAAGACACTGACTTCTCCCTTTGGTCGCGTCTGTCTGCTTCATCCACCGGGGCTGCGCTGTGCGGTGTGCGTGCTCACCACTGCTGCTCCTTCCTCGCGGCTTGCCTGTTACAACGCTGAATGTGCTCCTTTGTCCCGCCTAGCTAGTTTCGGCTCAGAATCTATTTCAGTCAGCTCTCTTTTTGATTTTTCGCAGCCTTTCACTTTTAACCTGTGTGTAGGTCCAGAGTGAGTCTCCTGTAAGCAACATACACTTGATAAACTTGGAGCTTTTTTTTTTTTTTTTTTTTTTTAAGCTTTATTTATTTGAAAGACAGAGATGGAGCAGAGGTGGGGATAGAGAGAGAGGTCTTCCATCCGCTGGTTCACTCTCCAGGTGGCTGCAATGGCTGGGGCTGGGCCAATCCGAAGCCAGGAGCTTCTTCTAAGTCTCCCATGTGGGTGCAGGGGCTCAAGAACATGGGCCATCTTCTACTGCTTTCCCAGGCCATAGCAGGGAGCCGGATCAGAAGTGGAGCAGCTGGGAAGAGAACTGGCACCTGTATGGGATGCCAATGACTTCACCCACTACGCCACAGCTCTGGTCCCTGCTCCACTTTGAATCCAGCTCCCTGCTTCTGTGCCTAATAAGGCTGCAGAGATGGCCCAAGTGCGTGGACTCCTGCACCCACGCAGGACACCAGATAAAGCTCCCGGCTCCTGGCTTTGGTCTGGCCCAGCCCTGGCTGTGCAACCATTTGGGTAGTGAACCAGCAGATAGACGATCTCTCTCTCTCTCTCTCTTTCTCTCGGTAACTCTGCCTTTCAAGTAAAGTAAATTAAAAAAAAAAAAAAAAACTGCAGAGGCCAGCGTAGTGGCGTAGGGGGTTAAGCCACCATCTGCGAAGCTGGCATCCATAGTTGCAGTTACTTAGGCTATTAAAGCTAAAATCAGCTCAAGCTGATGGCTGTAAGTTTATTTACCATGAAATGAAGGCAGCCATCTTAAAGATTTATTTATTTCCAAGGCAGAGTTACAGAGGGAGGGAGAGAGAATCTTTCATCCAGTGATTCACTCCCCAGGTGGGCGGAACGGCTGGGGTCTGGGCTGGCCAGGAGCTAGGACGTTGGCCCCTCGCTATAGAGTAACTGCGCTTCGGTGACTTGTGTCTGCGGTTTGTGTCTGTTACGGAGTGCGCTGCTGTAAGGCTCTTCCCGATGTTCCTGTGACTGTCACTGCCCGGGACTGTAACGCCGCCACCTCTCGCATTCCTGCCAGCGGCAGGCCGTCTTCCCTCTGCCTGATCAGGTGCCGAGAGCCTGATACATTCCGTTGCTCTTCTCAAGAAGCAGCAGTCTTTGCATTGTGGCAGAGCAGGTTAAGCCGCTGCCTGCAAGCACATCCCATGTGAGCGCTGGTTCAAACCCCCACTTCTCCACTTCCGATCCAGCTCCTACAAATCAGCCCGGGAAAGCAGCAGAAGGTGGCCCAAGCCCTTGGGCCCCTGCACCCACGTGGGAGACTCAGATGGTGTTCTTGGTAGCCATCTGGGGAGTGAACTCTGTGTGTGTGCTTCTCCCTCTCTCTGCGATTCTTTCAAAATAAGTATTTAAAACAACAACAAAATAGTATAATGCACATTCAAGTGTATAGAGAACATTTTATCAAGAGAGGAATATATTGGGCCATCAAACAAGACTCAGTGGATTTAAAAACATTTAAGACATGGCCGGCGCCGTGGCTCACTAGGCTAATCCTCCGCCTTGCGGCGCCGGCACACCGGGTTCTAGTCCCGGTCGGGGCGCCGGATTCTGTCCCGGTTGCCCCTCTTCCAGGCCAGCCCTCTACTGTGGCCCGGGAGTGCAGTGGAGGATGGCCCAGGTGCTTGGGCCCTGCACCCCATGGGAGACCAGGAAAAGCACCTGGCTCCTGGCTCCTGCCATCGGATCAGCGCGGTGCGCCGGCCGCATCGCGCTGGCCGCGGCGGCCATTGGAGGGTGAACCAACGGCAAAAGGAAGACCTTTCTCTCTTTCTCTCTCTCTCACTGTCCACTCTGCCTGTCAAAAAAAAAATAAATAAATAAATAAATAAAAACATTTAAGACATAACCAAATATGTTCTCTGGTCACAATGGAACTATATCAGAAAGTAGTAACGGAAAAATCTTTGGCAAATCCTCAAACATCTGGAGACTGAGCAAATTACGCTCATGGTCAAAGAACAAATAGGACATGTGTGAGCTGAAGGAAGATGAAGGGAACTTCAGCGTTTGTGGGGGGCCTCAAAAATGGAGAGAAAATCATAGCACCAAACGCCTCCTCAGTAAGCAGAGCTATTTTTGAGCCATTTAAAAATATATTTATTTATTTGAAAGAGTTAGAGAGAGAGAGAGAGAGAGAGAGACGAAGCTTCCATCCACTGGTTCACTCCCCAGATGGCTGCACAGCCAGCCCTGTGCCAGGCTGAAGCCAGGAGCCGGGAGCTTCATCTGAGTCGCCCAAGTGAGTGGCAGGGGCACAAGCACCTGGGCCATCTTCCACTGCTTTCCCGGGTGCATTATCAGGGAGCTGGATCAGAAGTGGAGCAGCAGGGACTTGAACTGGGGCCCATATGGGATGCTGGCGCCACAGGTGACCCGCTGAGCCACAGTGCCGGCCCCTGTTATGCTGTGGTTAAGTGGAGTGTCCTGTGAACGGCAGTCAGGTCATGTTCATGGACAGTGTTCAAGTCCACCGCATTCTGGCTGCTCATGTCTCCTCTTACCAGTTACTGAGAGAACCATACGGTCATCTCGGATTATAACTGTGACTTTTTTTGCTTTTGCAGTTGTCAGTTGTTACTTCATATCTTTTGAAGCTCTCTTATCTGGTACATGAACATTGAAGCTTATTTCTTCAATTAACTCCTTTGTCACCGTGGAATTACCTTCTTTATCCCTGGTAACGTCCTGCGCTCTGAAGTCAGCTTTCTCTGATCCTGGGGTAGCCTCTCCAGTTTTGACTCTCAAATCCTTTTACTTTTAGCACATCTGAAGGTATTCAAAGTGCGATCTTGGGGCAGAATATTGTTGAATCTCACTTTAATCGAATATGAAAGTCTTTGCCATTTAATGGGGTTGTTTAGACCACTTACTTTTAATATAATTATTGATAGTTAGGTTTCAGTTCTATTTCCTGTTATTTGTTTTCTAGTTGTTGTTATCTGTTCTTTGTTCCCCCTTTCTGCTTCTGCCTTCTTTTTTTTTTGTAAAGACTTATTTATTTATTTGAAAGGCAGAGACAGAGACAGGGAGAGGTCTTCCATCCATTGGTTCACTTTCCTGATGGCTGCAATAGCCAGAACTGCACCCATCCAGGTGCCAGGAGCCAGGAGCCTCTTCTGGGTCTCCCACTCAGGTGCAGGGGCCCAAGGACTTGGGCCACCTTCTACTGCTTTCCCAGGCCATAGCAGAGAGCTGGATTGAAAGTGGAGCAGCCAGGACTTGAACCAGCGCCCATATGGGATGCCGGCACTGCAGGCAGTGGCTTTACCCGCTAGGCCACAGCACCAGGCCACTCTGCCTTCTTTTACAAGTATTTTTATTCCATTTTATCTCATTTCTGGGCATCTGTAACTCTATGATTCTGTTAGTTATTAGGGAGCTTGATGTGAGGCTAAGCAGCCCGGACTCAAGATACCCCCACGGGATGCCAGTTTAGAAGGCAGTGGCTTGCCCTGCTGTGCCACAGCGCCGCCCCGTGCCTGGGTGTTTATGGGTCACGGTCTTGACAGATGCCAGGTACTATGAATGCTACCATGTTGCAGGCCGGATGTCTTCCAGGTCTATGCCTGTCCGCAACCCTCGTTCTGCAGTGCGGTCGCTTGCAAACAGCTCAACCTTTTCAGGTCTCGCCTTTGCCGGTTCGCTCTGACGTCTCAGTCCTCCTGCCCTCCGCCAAGCTGTAGCCACAGCAACACAGAGAGGGAGAAAGCCCGAGCAGCCTCAACACCGGCAGGAAGAGGCCAGGCAGAGCTGGAGCTGTTCCCGGGCTGGGCTTGGGGCGGCCCCCGCGCCGGAGGAAGCCACAGGGCTGCCCCACCACGCCGTTCGCCTTGCCCTGGACTATCAGGTCGAAGGCCTGGCGGCTCAATACGGCGCTCTAGGCCTCGGCTTGCACAGCGTCACCTGAGGTCAGGGTGCTCTGTCCCAGGAGCGAGGAAAGCTAAAACACGCCGAGTCCCTCACCCTGACACCTGGCCCCCTGCACACACTAGCCTGACGGGCATGAGCGCTCAGACATGGGGCCGGAGGTCCGAAGGACGAGGGCAGAAGCCGCATGCGTGGACGGCCATCACGACCCCTCGCTTGCTCCTCACGTCCTTGCAAGGCCAGGCCGGCCCAGTTCTGACAGGAGCCAGGGCCGGGGGTCTCTGCGGCCTCCAGACTCAAAAACCACAGAACACAGAGAAACCCACCCGGGACCTGCAGGCGCCGGCGTCTCGTGCGTGCTTGCCCTCCCGCTAAGACAGTCCCAGGGGCCGGCCAACCAACACTGGGCGAGGCCTTGCGGGCCCGGCGCTCGGGCTCCAACCAGGCGGCGGGCTCCGAACCCACGCCGGCCGCTCCCGGAACCCGATCCGCAGCTTCGGGCGCGCAGCCCGCCTCGGCCCGGGGGCCGCCGGGAAACCGAGCGCGCCCGGCCCGCCCCTCCTCCCCCGCTGCGCAGCCCTCGGTCGCCCCCTGCCGCCGCCGCCGGGGCCCTGCAAGCCAGGGAGCTTCCCTCCGCCCCGACCCCGCCCCATGCACCCACCCCGCCTCCGGATTGGCGGCTCCAGAAGGCTCCAGGCCGGCCTCCTTCCACCACCGGATTGGCTGAGCCCGGCGGCCCAGGCCCCGCCCACTTCCCCGGGTCCTTTGATCACGCGCTGCGGGCTCTTCCGGGGCCGGGGAGCCAAGCGAGGGCGTTCCTGTCGGGGCTGCGGCGGCGGGAGGTAAGGCATGGCCGGGGTGGCTGGGCAGCGGAGCGCCGGCATCCCAGGATGCCGGGGCGCGGGGCGGCCCCTCGGCGCTCCCCACACCCCCACCCCGGCCTGAGCCTCCCCGCGCCGTGGGAACTGCCTCCCGCCTGCCGTCTCTGGCCCGTCCTGACGCCCTCCCCGCCCTGGGAGCAGGAGAGGGGACTGGGTGACGGGGGCGAGCCCAGCGCCCCCGGGACACGGCGCGGTCGCTCACCCCTGACGCCCTGACAGAGACCCTGGAGAAGCCGGGTCAGGGCCCTCGGTTCACCAGCGTGCAGCCGCCCCGGGACGATCTCGCGTCTGTCAAAGGGAGCTGACCCGCTCCCCTTCCGCGCCCTCCAGACCAGGAGGGAGGGACCTGGGCGGAGCCCCGGGTGGGGACCAGAGGGACTCGAGGGAGGTGACATCATCTCGAAGATACAGGCCAGCCCTGCCCGCTGTGTGCACCCTGGCGTGGGGACCGCCGAGGGGATGTCCGGACTGTGTCTGGGGTGACCCCAGGGCCGAGGAGGGCACAGAGCGCCGGCATGTGGCCTGTAGTCGAAGTGTGGGGGTCGGCTGGGGCGCTGCCGCCTCACCCCCAGGCCGCAGCTCAGGACCTCCCTATGTTGGCGTGCGCCCCTGGGCAGGAACTGCAGCCCCGGTGCCCAGGTCTGAGGGAACAGGAAACTTGCTACTGACCTTTCCCCAGAAGTGGAGGCTTGCAAATGTTTGCCCGGCATCTGATCCGAGCCCCACCCTGATTTCGGGATAAGAGCTGGACAGGACTTGGGCACCAGACCTAGGCCTTCTTACCGAATTTGCGGAGTTCTGGGTTGGTTACACCCAGCAGGGGTGTCTGGGGGACCCCTCATCCCAACACTTGACCTAGGGCCCGTATTCATAGTGCTCCCCGGGTGGGGGTGTATAAGTCTGGGTGCAATGGTAACCTCCCTTCCTCCTCCCCAGGGAGCCCGGTGGAGGCGCCCTCCCAGGCACCACTGCCCATGCTGACCACCGCGCGCTCCGCCTGCCGGTGTCATGAGTAACACCACAGTGCCCAATGCGCCCCAGGCCAACAGCGACTCCATGGTGGGCTATGTGTTGGGCCCTTTCTTCCTCATCACCCTGGTCGGGGTGGTGGTGGCCGTGGTAAGGAGCCCCCCCCCCCACCTCTGCACACATCTCAGCTGTGTTCTGTAAGGGGGCGGGGGGCCTAGCAGCCCAGTGCTGCCCAGTGCTGTCTCTGTTGCAGGTAATGTATGTCCAGAAGAGAAAACGGTGAGTGGCACTGCCCCCCACTGCTTAAACTCCTTCCCCTGAGCCCTCTGCACCCTCATCCCTCGGGAGATGTTCCCCCTGCCCCCACCAGCTCTCCAGGGAAGGGCCCGTCCTTGCCTGGGGTCCAGGCAGGTCTTGTGAGGGTTGGGGGCCTGGGCTGAGCATCCCGCCCTGCCCCCAGGGTGGACCGGCTTCGCCACCACCTGCTCCCCATGTACAGCTACGACCCGGCTGAGGAGCTGCACGAGGCTGAGCAGGAGCTCCTGTCGGACGTGGGAGACCCGAAGGTGAGTAGGGGCAGGGGAAACCCAGGCTGCTTCTGCCCTCCCCACCTGGGCGTGGCTGGGGGCGCCTCCTCCAACCCAGCCTTGCGTGACCTCCGCCCCACAGGTGGTGCACGGCTGGCAGAGTGGCTACCAGCACAAGCGGGTGCCCCTGCTGGATGTCAAGACCTGACCTGAGCCCCCGGCCGGAGCCTCGGGGGTCCCGCAGTCTGCTTCCCCGCCCCCCCAACTCTGCTCGGCAGCCTCACCCTGCCCTCAGCCCTCACCCACCTCCCGGCACTAATGGGGGCCTCCTCCCCGGGGCAGAGGCGGCTGGGAGACAACTTTGCTTTCTATAGGTTCCCTGGATCCTGGACTGGCTTTGGGTTTCCACAGCGAGGGACCCAGATGTATAATACTCAGTATACATATTTTGTAAATAAACGGTTTTGTGGCTAGAGACGCGGCAGAATTCTTCAAAGGGGGTTAAATTACCTGAGGCTCCAACCCCAGCCTGAGGTCCCCAGAGTGCCACTCCCCCTGCCACCCCCGCCCCCCAGGCCTTAGAGCACAACCACACTCCTTTCCAGAAAAGGATATTTTTTTATTCAAGTAACTGCAAATAGGAAACCAAAGGGGGAGCCCCAGGCTGGGACATAAAACGGCTGCCCCCTCCCCAACAGAACAGGGGGAGAAGGCGGCTCCTACACCCTTCAGGACAAACACGGGCCCCCTGGCTCTGCTGCAGCACCCTAGGGGTGAGGCCCCACCTTCCCTGGGCCTGAGTGTCAGGGCCCCAGCCTGCTGCGCCCCAGCCCCCTTGTCCCGGGGGAGGGATGCGGACAGAATGAGGCGGGCAATGGGGGGAGCGTTAGGCGCTGACAGCAGCAGCGGTGATGGGATGTCTAAGGACAAAACATTGAACAAAAAACAACACAACTGTCCAGAGGTAGTTTGTGAACAGAGGAAAGATGGAACCAGAACCTTGGGGGGTGGGGCGGAGCAGGAGGGGTGGGGGCGGGCAGGGCTAGCTCCTTGTTATTAGTGCCCCATGGGAGGGAGACAGGCCTAGAGCAGAAGCAGGGAGGGGTGGGCACGGCCCCAGCCCCCCTCGGGTGGCTGCCACAGGGACCCTGGGCCTCACTTGGACAACAGGCGACCCTGCTGCACGTCTAACTGCAATACCCAAATCCCAGAGTGGCTGCAGGGTGGGCAGGTGGCTGCCCATCCTCGGACAGGGACCTGGTGAGGTGAGGGAAAGCAGAACACGGGCTGGGAGCCCCACCTGGTGGCTGTGGTTATTGGGGCATCCCAGGGGGCTATTGGCCACACCTGCTGCCACCAGGGCAATGGAGTGGTGCATGTCAGAATGAGATGGGGCCTGGGCCCCTTAAGGCCAGGGGAGCCCTCTCAGCCCCCTCTCTGGGAAGCCAGAGGGAACAGTAGAGCCGAGAAAGGGCCCCCAAACCAAGAGCCCACAAAGCAGTGTTCCCACCGGCCAGGGAGCGGGGTCGCGGCAGGTGCAGGGTGCGGCTAAGTGGGAATCAGCCTTGTCCAGGCGGGCGAGTGTGTGCTGCGGGAGGGCAGGTCAGGAGCTGAGGCCAGAGGGCAGCTGGCCTCCCCCTGGGAGGGCGGGGGCCTACAGCGTGGTGTGCTGTGTAGTGTGCGGTGGGGAGGGCGCAGGTCGGGGTGCGGGCCTGGGGGAGGGCGGGGGCAGTGGGAGCAGAGCGAAGCCGTCCAGTCCCAGAGGAAAGCTGCTCCTGGGATGCCGGAGCAGGCGGCACGGCGCGGTCACTGCTCCTCCTCGGAGGACTCCTGCGAGATGCCCTCCTCTTCCTCCTTCTCCTGTGAGGTGGACAGAGGAGCTCTGGGCGGGCGCCCTCCTTCTCCACCCCCGGAGGCTGGGCCCCACCCCCTCCCTGCGTGAGTCAGGGCTGAGTGTGTGGGTGACTCAGCAACCTCCACAGCCCGGTTTCATTCATAAAAAGGAAGAATTTAAAAGGAGGGAAAAAAAAAAACCACACACATGCTGCTCTCACAGAGCCAGGAGCCAGGCCCCCCTGGCCCATGGGCAGCAGAGGGCAGGCTCAGGGGGCGTGGACAAGTGCCCGGCTCTCTCTGGAGGAAAGGCCACAGGGAGGAACGGGTGGCCAGAGGGCGGTGAGGCCCCTGTGTATGCGGGGCAACCAGGTGGCCTTGGCCCACAGGGACAGGTACTGGGCTGTGGCCCTGGGTCCCCTGGGGTGGCCGAGGGCTGACCCCGGGCCAGGGTGGGGAGGCAGGGGAAGTGTGTGCCGGGGGCCCACTCACTGGGCGGGAATGTCGGGACACCACACAGGCCTGCAGCCCCCGTGCCAGGCACAAACTCCAAAACAACTTGTTTCCTGTTACTCACTCCTGGGGCCTGGCCAGCAGCGCCCCCCTTAGCTGTGGCTCAGCTCGAGGAATGAGCACCTCAGGGAGCCAGGGAAGGTCCAGGCAGGACGGGGTGCCTCCCACCACCCCCCAGGGCTGAGCTGTCCTCGCTTCCTCTTCCCGAGAGGACCACGGAGGAGCGACCCTCACTGATTCCCCAGTGGCTTCCTCTCCTGCCTCCAGAGACAGGGACAGGCTAGGCCACCTCCTGGGCCCTGCTTCAAGTCTCAGGCTGCTGGAGGCGTGGACAGCCCGCCCACCCCGGCTATCTGGTGGGACGCCTGCTTCCTCAGGACACAGCCCCTGGGAGCTGCAGGTTTCGGGGCCTCCTGGCTGCGCTTCCGGGTAATGCGCCTGTGGAGGCAGCAAAAGAAACCAGGACGGAGCTCCTGGCTCTGGCCCAGCCCTTGCTGCTGTGGCCAGAGGAGCGAACCAGTATACAGAAGATCTGTCTCTCCATCTCTTGACTTTCAAAAAAAAAAAAAAAAAAAAAATCTTTAAAAACAAAAACCCTGGGGCAAGCTCCTATCTCCCTTTGGACCTCTGCACAATCTGGCACCCCAGCACCCCGGGCACAGTCAGAAGCGTGTCCTTCCGTGGAGGGTGCAGGGAATCACGCATCAAGAACTCCCAGCAGCACCCATGGGAAGAGCCGCCGCTCCTGTACCTACCAGTTTTTTGGGTCTGCCCCTTGGCTTCCTTCCTGGAGCTGTGGTGGTTTTCTAGAGGTCAGAGAAAACATCCCCTAAGTCGAAAACACTCAGCAGTGCTGTCCGACGACCAGCGCCCGGGACGCGGAGGAAGGCACATGGGAGCGGCACTCCCCGCCTCGCAGCTCAGGGCAGCCACTCTCACCAGGCAGGCCCAGCTGTGGGGACTGGGCAGCCACACTCCCCCGCCCTACACACACACATGCATGCACACACACACACACACACACGCCCCCTACTCCATCCTCCACCCATGACTCAGAGGATATGAGTAGTGCCTTAGAAAAAATAAAAAACAAAACAAGGTTTCTGCACTGGGAATGGGCCTCCCCGTGCGTGTGCGTGTCCCTGTCCCTTGGGACAAGGGCAGCACTCAGCCCCTCTCTCTCCCACCTGTCCTTCTCCAGATCGTGAAATCCACAGGGACTTCTGACTTGATTTCCCCATTGTCCTGGGCAGCACTGAGCCCACCCCTGCGTCCCCCGCCCCAGTTCCCCACAGCGGTGGACTTCTGTGCATCCGCCCTGTCTCCCCAGTCCTCACCCGGGTCTTGGCAGCACCCTTGTTCTTGCTCCCCTTTGGTCGGCCCCGAGGTCTCTTGGGTGTTGGCACTTCGCTAGGCTCCTTCTGCAGAGACAGACGGGGCAATCAGGGACAGTCCCCACCTGTCCCAGCCCTCTGCCCGCTGCAGCAGGCTCCCACCCACGGGAACCAGGGTGGGCAGGCCCCTGGGGCCTCGAGGCCTCCGCCGGACCACCCTCGCACAGCCCCTCCCCTTGCTTTCCTTGGAGCCTCTGTGACAACAAAACAGCAAGAGACCGACGTCCCCTAGCAAAAAGGTGTCACAGAGGCAGCAAGACAGCCGCAGGCGGCTCTGCCGAGTCCCAGTTCTGCCATGGATCTTGGGCAAGACGCTGGATGCCTCACCTTGCAGAGTGTCAGGGAAATGAGATGCATGCAGAGTTCCCAGTCCTGCCCACCCCTCAGAGGACGCGTGCTGGAGACGACGAGGGTCCCAGGCTGCCCCTGAGGTCACTACTGCTGAAATCTGACTAAACCCGGACAGAATAATGCTAATTCTCTGCTCAATGTGAAGAGGCTAGATGGTAAGTGAAGGCGGCCAGCTACTGCTTCTTGGGGCAGCCCCCCGTGGGCTGTTCATAACCACGTCTAGTGGTCTAGTGACCCAGGCCCTCTCTCCTGGGGTCCTACCCAAACAGTGGGCACAGCTAACAGGTGCGGGAGGGAGTGGCGGATCAGAGGAGGACCCCCCCCAACCAACTCCAGGTTCTGAAGGTAACAGGTGAATTGCTCCAAAGTCCCAGAGAAACAGGGCGGTTTAGCCCCGGCTCCGTGTTGCACACGGCTGTTAACGACCCGCCCCAGGCTGAAGAGGCAAGGGCCAACCTCAGCTCCTCCGCTCGCTCTCCTCCTCTGCCCCCGCACACAGCTCGCACCTGGGAGGCCCAGGTTCTCACAGGAACAGGTGCACCTCGCGGTGCCAGGATGGCTGTGTCACCTCTCCTCCCTGGGGGTGGGGCGGCACCACGGCTCTGAGGGTCCCTGCCACCAACTTTCCCAGAGTCTCATTTCCTAGGGCCTCCACGTCCACGCAGGGAGCCAGGTGAAGCCCATTCCCAGGGCTCCTCCAAGTGTGGCCATCCACTGGCGCTAGCCCAGGGCGCCATGACCAGCAAGAGTGGACAGCAAGCACTCACAGACTCAGAGCTACCGGACAGAGTAACTGTGTGCACGCATCTCCTCGCTTGTACGTGGTCACTGGTTTACTACAGATGGCAGCGTGGGGAACAGGCGGCTCTACCACGACCCCGGCTCACTGCGGCTTGGGCCTTCTCGCACTGGCCTGGGAACTCACCTGGAGTCCCCCCACAGCCCCAGAGCCGCATGTGGGGTGAGCACAGACACAAGCCCAGATGGCGATGATCCCGTGCCCTCGCCCGCTGAGACACCGGCCACCTCCCCCTTCCCAAAGGGTACACTGAAGCCAAGTCGTGGACACCCACCTGACTCCCGACCAGCGCTGTCCCAGGACTCACCGGAGGCTGCTTGCGCGGCCTGCCTCGGCCGCGCTTCTCCGTGCCGTCCTTCTCCTGCTTGGAGGCCAAGGGCTGGCTGGCCTTCGAGCTCGACTCGCTCATCTTCCCTCTCTGCAGGGCAGGTGCGAGAGCGACGGCTGGGATGCTGCAAGAGGCAGAGCAGGCTTCAACACAGCTCAACTTGAGCCACTTCCGGCGGCGCCGCCCCACCCTCAAAGCACACTGCCCGTTCCCACTCTGCCCACCCCCAGCATGCTGCCCCAGGGTGGGGCAGGGCCGTTGGCCTAATCAGCTCCTTATCTCCTGCTGAGAAGGCCTCTTTGTTGTCCTGCCCAGACACCGCCCCCACGGGCCCTGGGGGTGGTGCCCAGGAGGTGCAGCCCAGACCTGGTACCATGGGCCAGGGTGAGGTGCAGGTGAGGTGGGGGACCCACAGGGCCGGCAGAGAGCACACCTGGCCAGTTCGGAAGGGACCAGGGAAGATGAGACGGTGGCAGCTGCAGCAGCCACACACAGCGACCCCGTGTGCATCTGGCGGGGCTCAAGCCTCAAGGACCACCACTCACACAGCCAGGGCTGGTGCCCACCCACCAGGTCTCTGCCCTGTCCCAGGGGAAATCCTTGAGGACTCCAAAGATGGGGACAACTGAGGGAGGAAGATGGTGGAGCCTGCAGCGGGCGGGGTGCGAGGAAAGCCTGCTGGGGGTCTGATTAGCACCCCCCTCCCCCCGCACACACCACGATGAGTTCACCTATCCCTCCTGGAGCAGGCAGCATGGGCCAGCCCGGTCAGCAGCCCCAAGTGGACCTGGAAGCCTGCAGCCACCACCCCCTGCCTGCCCCGCCCCTCCGTCTGTGAAATGCAGGCAATGCTAAGACACCTGTCTCCACTGCCTCCCCACGCGGCTTTGGGGCTCCAACTCAGAACAGTTTATAAAAAAACTGAAGCCTCAGAAACCTTCTATCGGTAAATGACTTCTCTTCCTCCTTTGAGAGATTCTGAGGCAATTTCCAATTTTAACCCAGGAAAGAAAAAACATTTTTGCAAACTTGCGATTTTTTTTGAGGACCCAAGGCCCCCACCCCTCAAGCACAGAGCCCCTCCAGACGGCGGGACTTTGTCTGGTAATTACCCTATTTTATATCTCAGACTGGGAGACCCTTGCAAACAAGGTGGTTGATTTAGCCTGCTCCGTCATTAGTGGCTTGGCCTGCTCTGTAATTACAGCCAGTGATTAGAATCTTATATTACACCACAGGCCCCCTTCAAACTAAACATCAAAATTAATCAGCTAAATGAGTGCTGACCTCACATAAGGTCTGCCCAGGGCCCCCTCGCAGGGGGGGTTCCAGTTGGGCGAAGCTGGCCCGGAGTCCCCCGAACCTCTGATGGCATGGGGTGGGTGCCTGCCTCCCCCCTACCCCACCCGGCCAGGCCCCCACGAAGTCCTGAGGCTCTCTCTAGGGAGGCCAAGAAACGTTGGTCTCTATGCCACCTGTTCGCGAACATCAACGAGGCCTGGCCTGGAGCAGCCACGTTTCGGGGCCAACCCCAATCCCTCAGCTTGTAGGAAGCCCACTCGGGTCCCAGGCTCCTCCAGCGCTTAAAGGCCCTGCAGGAATGACCCCAGTACCTCATCTTAGCAGTCCCTTTTATTCTGCATAAAGGAAAAAATAAAAAAGTAGCCCAGAGAAGCCTGATGAGTTTTCCAAGGTCACACAGCAAACTGGCGACCCTCCCAGCCCACCGGTGTGCTCTCCCACCTAGCGGCTGGTGAAGACCCTGTCGGCCCTTGCTCCAGACCCAGGCGGCGTCTGCAAGTGCCTGCGCCGGGCCGTTGTGGGCAGACCGGCGGGAGTCGGGGCCAGAGCGCGAGGGGGAGGGGCGCAGGCCGTCCCTGCAGGCGCGGGAAACGAGCGCACCCCGGCCGCATGCACCGCCACGCGGGTGCACCCGGCCCCACTTCCTGCCAGAGGGGGCACCCAAGCCCGCCCCGGGGCAGGAGACCTGGCGCGCGCTGGCGGGGGACAGGAAGAAAGCCCCCTCTCTGCGCCCGCCCCGCCAAATAAAACCCCAGGAAAACAGAAACGGGGAGTCCAGGGGACTAGTTCCAACAGAGCCCAGCAAAGCAGAGAAACCAGTTTGTGGGGGCGGAGGGCAGGCCCGGCCCTGGGGGCTGAGGAGGCGCAGCTCGGGCCAGAGGTGGGGTCGGGGGTGAAGCCCCAAATCCAGGCCGGGCAGCCGGCTCGTCCCGCGCAGGGGGCGAGAGCCCAATCTCGGGGTTCCCGCCCATCCCCCTCACTTCCAGAACTTCGTGCGGCTGCGGGGGGCGTCCGAGCCCCCGCACGCCCGCCGCAGCCCGGCCTCCTCCCCGCCCCCCACCCCCGGCCCCGGCGGGAGCGGCCGCCGCGCGAGGTGCACCGGGCTCCGCCGGGTGCACAACTCGCGCTCGCCGCAGCCGCGCGCCCCCTCCCCCACCGCGCGCTTGCCTTCCCAGGGTCCCCGCCCCCCCCCCGCAGGGCGCCCGCGGCGCGGGGGAAGGGGTGCGGGCGTCCTCCCCGCGCCGCCGGGCCCCGCCGCCCGCCCCCGCGCCGCGCGGCCCTCCCCCGCCGCCGGCTCGCGCCGCCCCGGCCTGGGAATAAAGCCGGCGGCGCGCGCTGCAGCCCCGGGCGGGGGCGCGGGCGCCCCCCTCGGCCGCCGCCGCCGCGGGCCGCGGGGACGACTCACCGCGAGCTCGGCCGCCGGCCTGCGGTGCGCGCTCCGGGGCTGCCGGGAGCGACGGTGCTGGGCGCTGAGGACCGGCCTGGCTCCGCCGCCGCCGCTGGTAGCAAATGCGGATCTGAAACCGGGAGAGAGGGCAGAGGCGCTCAGAGCCCGCCGCCGCCGCGTGCTCGCCGCCCAGGCCCCCGCGGGGTATTTATATGTCACATCCAGCCGGGGGTGGGGGGGTGGGCAGGAGTCTCCCCCCTCCCCCGAAGGATGGCGAGGGGCAGGAAGCCGGGCACGGCCCGTGCGCGGCCTCAATAAATAAATAATTTAATTAAATTATAGATATATTTAAAAAAAAAAAAAAAGCAGCCACCGGAGCGGCCGCGAACTCACGCCTTCTTGGAGCCGCGCCAGCGCCAGAAATAGCCCCGGCTCGGAGTCCCAATTAGAGGAGCGCAGCCCCGGCTCAGGGGAGCTTAAAAAGAGCGACCCAGGGGCAGGGGGGACGGGCCCGCCCGCGCCAGCCGTGTCACCGGGGGGCGGGGCCATGCAAATGAGCCCGGGGATTTAAAAGGGCGGCCGCCCGCCAGCCGCCGCCGCCGCCGCCGCGCGGGTGGGTGCTAGGCTGCTGTGGGGGTGCGCCCAGTCACGATCCACTCCCCACAGTCCAAGGGGGAGCAGGGCGCCGAGCAATCTCGAAGGGGCTTCTGGCGTCGGGGCGGGGGGCGGGGGCGTCCTCACCGTCTGGAACCGGAGTCCCGGGACAGTCACCTCTAGGGGCGCTCCGGGCGTGTGCGCCCCGCCGTGGGGGGTGTGGGTGGGCCTTCGTGCCCGCGGGGGTCCACGCGGCCGGAGGGGGGCAGAGAAACGCGGGTGTGGGAGACTTCCGCGGCCTACGCGCCGCCCCTTTCCCTTACACCGACGGCCTGCGGATTTCTCCAGGCCGACAGGTGTGTCAGCATGTGCGTTTCAGTGACAGCCCGCGCGTGACTGGCGGGTGGGGTACCGTCTTGTGAAATGCAAGGTGTTTAGATTTTGTTAACGGCCACACGCGAAGCATGACCAAGGTCCAGCCTTCGAGCGAGACACGAACTGGCTCGCTCGCGGGCTGGACCCGAGCGGGGCGTCACTCCCTTTGGCGCCCTCCGGCCGTTTTGGAAGCACGCGGTCCCGCAGTGGCCCCCAGATTTCTCATCTGCCGTGGTTTAAAAAAAAACAACAACAACAACAAAGGGTTGGGCCGGCGACGCCTGGAAGCGCTTTGCGGGCAGGGTCTGAGCTGACGCGCGCCGTCCGGGCCCGCCGCGCCGGGCTCCACCGGGACTTGTTGCGCTGAACGAGGAGGAAGCCAGAGCGGGAAGATGGCGGTGGGGGAAGAGAGGGCAGGGTCGGAGAGGGGAGGCGCGCCCTGCAGGCCGGGCCGCGGCCCTGTCGGGCGCACCTCCCGCGCCCGGTCCCCGAGGCGGCCTTCCACACCTCCTGTGAGGCAGGGAATTGTAATGCGGCCCAGTGACACACGGCAGTGACTCATGTTTTTCTTTGCTCCCCTTCTTCCTCCCCGGTCAGCGAGGCCCAGGCCCAGCCCCCTCCTCAGGGGGCGCGCGGAGGGGCGGGGGCGGGGGTGGGGGGGCGCGAGGAAAACCCAGAGCCCGCAGTGGGGGCGGGGTGGGGAGCCCGAGGGGCCGGGCCTCCAAGTTTCAGGAATGTTTCAGGAATGTTTCCGGTGGGGGAGGGGGCCGGCCCCCACCCCGGGGCCGCGGGGGGCGCTCGGGGCCCGGGCAGCACGTGCTCGGCCGGGTGGGGGCGGGGCGCGGGCGGCTGGGCGGGAAGGCGCGGACGCCGTGAAGCGGGTTCAAAATGGAGGAGCCGGTTTGATGACTGCCCGGCCTGGAGGTGGGCCCGGCGGCCGCCCTGCGCGCGCTGGCTCCCCGCCCTGCGCCCAGGTGAAACGCAGTTCTCGAGAAGTCCCGGGGCCGCCCCTGGAAGGGGAGAGGAAGTCACCGAAGGGCGGCCTGGGCGGCGGGGGAAGGCCGGGGCGAGGCTGGGGGAGGGGCGGCCGGCCCCTTTGTCTGGAGCCGGGGTGGGGGTGGGGGGGGTGGGGCGGGGTGGAAGCGCGCCGCTCCCTCCATCTTTGTGTCCGGCGCGCGCCAGGCGCGCTTAGTAGGCCGTGAGCTGCGTTGGCTGGACGGAGGCTCCTCAGGTGCGAGCTCCAGAGCTTTGGCTTTGCGTTGGCCGGAGGCGCCGCCCTCCAGCCCCTGCTGCCCCTGCCCAGGTCACAGGTCTCTGTCCGCCACCAGGGTCCCCAGGCCTGGGCCTGGGATAGCGGCCGGAGCCCTCCCCGAGGCCAGCGAGGCCGGCGTCTGCGCCCTGCGGCAGCCGGGCCCCAAAGATTCCGGTAGAGACCTGGCTGCCCCCTCTCCAAGCCGCACCTAGCCTGGGACACGTGGCTGGCCCCAGGGGGAGTTGGGCAGGGACGAGGGGCTCCCCCCCCCCAGGGGGCTGTGGGAAAACTTGCCCAACTCTTTGGCCCACTTCTGGCAAGCCGACTTGATCCTATTTTTCCTACTCTTATTTGCCTCTCGTCCGGATTTCCTCACCAACTTGTTTTTTACCTTGTATTGTGTGTGTTTTTGTAAGCCACCTCAAACCCTCTCTGGCGGAGGCAGGTATAAATAAATTCTTAGGCAAATAAATATAGTAGCTAGTTCTCCTGAAGGATTACCCACACCCTTGAAGTCCAAATAACACTCTACCCCCTGACCCCCACCTCCGGGCCTTCTGGGTTACCGATGCCCTGTACCTTCTGCCCTGGCTTTCCTCTGTCAGAGGCCCCAGATGCCATCTCTGCATTTGATGTCTAGAGGACCCCGGGCCAAAAATACACCAGGGAAAGTTGAGTGGCAGCAGGAGAGGTGCCGTGACGCAGAGAGCGGTTCATCCACTCCCTGTTCCTGGGGCCTTACCACCTGCCCGGAAGTGGGACACTCCTGGGGTGAGCACCTCGAAGTTGTGGGCACTCTCGAAATGTAGGGGGCAGGGGCAGCGGGTGCTTCAGTTGCTCCAGGAGGAGAGGGTGGGAGCCCGGGGAGATGAGCTTGAGCAGATTTGGGAGGTGGGTGGCTCAGGGTGGGGAGGAGTCCTGGGACGCCAGCCAGTTGGCCCAGGCCTGAGGAGTCCCTGAGGGGTTGGGTGACACCAGAACCAGTCTTCTCCACAGGAAACAACTTTATGATGATCGGGGTCCAATGATACAATCCAGTGAACTTCAGTGAACCCAACAGGAATGTCCAGAAAGTGGGGGCTTCAGGTCAGTTTGATTCTTGAGGAGATGGGAAGGCCAGTGCAGGTGGCTCCATTTAGCAGCTGGGTTACTGGCAGTTTTCCTAAGGGTGTGGCCATCAGGTTTGTTCAGCATGATGGGTAGAGGTGGAAAGCGTCAGGAGTTGTCCAACATGTCCTCCAAACCAGTGTGCTTTAAAAAAAAATACTTCCACTTCCTTTCACCCCCAGGGTCAATCCCCAGATGCCTCCAACAGCCAGGGCTGTGCCAGGCCAAAGCTAGGATCCTAGAACTCCATCTGGGTCTGCCACGTGGGTGGCAGGGGTCCAAGTGCTTGAGACATCAAGGGCTGCTTCCCAGGATGCAGTAGCAGGAAGCTGGGTGGTGAGCAGGGAACTGAGACTCCAGCATGGCGTGTGGGCCTCCCAAGGGGACAGCTTAGCCTGCTGAGCCACGGTGCCTGCTCCTCAGCATCCATTTTAAAGTAAACCTTTCACTGATGGAAACTGTACAGCAGGAAAACATGCAAACTGTAGGTGCCAGCGCCTACAGCGTCTTTTCAAACTGGTTCCTCTTGTGTCACCCGGATTAAGAGATTGAGCATATCTTGCTCCTTTATGAACCCACCGTCCTGCCCCCTACAGCGTTGCTCAGTACCACCCGTTCCTGTACGTGGCTGGGTGGAATTACATGTTGCGTGTTCTCCCGGCTTTGCTCAGCGTGGTGTCTGTAAGATTCATCCACGCTGCTGCACGTGCCTGCAGAGTAGGAATTCTCACGGCTGCAATGATTAGGTGGTAGGAACGCACCGCAGTGCTGGGTAGGTCTTGGTGGGTGGGTATGCACATTTTGGCTGGGTACCAGCCTAGAAGAGGAATGGCTGGATCGCTGCGTATGTGTGCTCTGCTGTAACGGAAGACGAAGGTATTTAAATGTGGAAGGGGGCGCTACTAATAGTTACAGCTGGACCACACCAGCTGGAATTAACCTAAGCAAACCAGAGATAAGATCATGCTGGTTCACAGTGTTTAACTATGCTGGAGTCACCCAGCTACTAGTGCATCTGGTCATCTGGCAGGATCAGGCCTCCAAGCCCTGCTGACCACAGCTCTGCTGCCAGGAGGCCTGGCAGGCCCAGAGTGGGAGGAGGGCCTCTTCTGCGTCCAACTTTCGAGGGAAAAATTCTCAAGTGAAAATGAGGGCCCAGAAGGCCTGCACCTCTCTGCTGTGAGCCAGCTGTGTACCCTGCTTGGCTCCGGAAGCCATGGACTCCGCTTTCGTCGTCAGGGCCGGATCCCCGGGGAAGTGTGGCTCTGCTGCAACATCAGAAAGCCCCGGAGGAGCATACACCGACTGC